CGGGCGGGGGCGGGGCCACGGGCTGAGGACACGCCCCCACAGGCAGTCTACCCCATCCCCTGGTACCTCCCACCTGGGCTCTGCCCTGCCTGCGCTGGGCCTCTCTCTACAGTATCCCTCCCGGCCCCGGAGTGACTCAGTCTTTCTTGATCGCCCCCTCCTCTTGAAGTTACCCTCCCAGCGGAGGGAAAGAGGCTGGGGACGGGTGCCCGTCGTGGTTGTGGCTGGCAGCTCAAGTTGAGCCTCTCTGGTTGATCCGCCTTCATCTATCCATCCCAGCTCCCACGAGTGGTAGGACACTAGGAAAAACACCTGCTCTGGGGAACTAAAGGGTCCTAGATCATTCACTCAGACCCTAGAGCCAGACCGACTGCATGCACAGTTTTTAAGATTTATTTTATTTATTCTATTTTTTTTTAATGTGTATGAGTGTTTTGCCTGCATGCATGTAAGTGCACCTGTGTCCATGCAATGCTGATGGACGCCAGAGAGTTACAGCCTGTTGTTAGATGTCATGTGGGTGCTGGGAACCGAACCCTGGCCCTCTGTAAGAGCAGCCGGTGCTCTTAACCACTGAGCCATGTCTCCAGCTAATTTTTTTTTTTTTTTTGAGACAGGGTGTGATGGTTGGTTTTAATGGTAACTTGCCACAAATTAAAATCTCCTGAGTAGGGAGCCTCAGGTGAGGAACTGTCCTGATTGCCTTAACTGATGTAGGAAGACCCAGCCCTGAATGTGACAGAATCTTCTGGCAGCAGCCGAGATTGAAAGGGGGCGAACTTAGCAGAATGAAGACAATTTTCTTTTGCTTGTTTGGCCTTCCCTCTCCCCACAGAGTTGATTTATCCTGTGCTGCTGCTGCTGCTGCTGCTTCCTTTGCTGACGTCACAGCCAGAGTTCCCAGGCTCAGCAGCTTCTCAGGAATCCTGAAGTTTTCAGTGCCACGTCTGGATTGCTGAGGCACCCAGTACTGTGGATTGAGCAACTACCATGGTCTCAGCCACTCCGGTGTGACAGACACTGTGGGACTCCTCCCACTGCTAAGGCACCCACCCATCCAGCCTCAAGGACCAAGTGACTACCCGGTTCTCAGCATCTCAGGTGTGAGTCAGTTTTGGTTTGTTTTTTTTTTTTTTTTTTTTTTTTTTGGTCTTTTTGAGACGGGGTCTCCCTGTAGCCTCAGCTGTCCTGGAACTCACTATGTAGACCAGACTGGCCTTGAACTCACAGAGATCCGCCTGCGTCTGCCTCCCGAGTGCTGGGATTAAAGGCATGAGCCACCATGCCCGGCAAGTTGTTACAATTTTGAAGTAAGCTGATTAATAAATTCATTTAGTACATATATATATTCATTTTGTGTTCCACTAGAAAATTCTGACTAATACATAAGGTCTCACTATGCAGCCCTGGCTGGTGTGGAACTCCCTATGTAGATCAGGTTGGCCTCACAGAGATCCACCTGCCTCTGCCTCCTGGGTTCTGGGATTAAAGGTGTGCACCACCACACCAACACCTGGTTATTTTATTTTATTTTCAATTATGTGTATATGTGGGGAAGGGGTTACAGGTGATTGTGGGCCACCTCGAAGTATGTGCTCTTAACCACTGAGCTGTATCTCCATCCCCCTACATGTGAATTTTTGCACTTATCTCAAATGGCTATTCTTTTTATAAAAAATACTGTTTATTATTTTATGTGTATGAATGTATTGCCTGCATGCCTGTAAGTGCACCTGTGCTGTGCCATGCCAGTGGAGGTCAGAACAGGGTGTTGGATCCCCTGGGACTGGAGTTACAGACAGTTGTTACCAGCATGTGGGTGCTGAGAATCGAATTCAGGTTCTCTGCAAGAGCAGTCAATACTCTTCACTGCTGAGCCATCTCTCCAGCCCCTCACATGGTGATTCTTAAGCCATATAATATGGCTATGCTACATGTATGCTTTACAAAGTTCATATAGTCATAAACATTGTATAGACAGTAGCTGTTCTTAAAAAGTTTCGTTTGTTCATTTACTCTTAAACATGTTTGGAGCCCTTCACTCTGACTAGACCCTACCCTTTCTGAGCCCACTTAGCTGGCAGATAAACCAAGGCTGAGGGAGAAAGCCACCCAGGAAACCATGGGGGCCCAGCAGGGCTGGCTTTCCATCAGAGTACCCACTCCAGCTTCCATCTGAGTGCCCATCCTGCACAGGGGGCACTTGGAGAGGTGGGGTGGGCAGGGTGCCAGGTGACTGATCTTCCCCTGCCCATACACACTGTCTCTCACTACAGACTGCTAAGGAAGTATAGAAGACTGCAGCCACTGACCCACGGGAGGGAGACCTCAGGATGGTACTTCTAGGTGCTGAGGGAGAAACTGGGAAGTGACCTTTTGGGTCACGGAAAATCCCACCTACTGGTCAGCAGCCTGGGAAATCACCTGGTTCCCACAAGTTTCTGAGCACAGCCCACAGACTTAACCCTGAAGAGGGGTGGCCACTGGAGCAGGCAGGGAGAGTTCTGACCCATATGGAAGTCATCTGGAGGGATCTCTGATCCATCTGAGAAAACTGGATGCCAGGAATGAAGTGTCACCTATCAGAAGCAGGACACAGTCTTCCCTGAATGTCCCTCCAGCTTCCAACCCAGTAGGTCCAACTGACTCACCCCCACCAGCCAGGGAGCTGCACTACCAGAGGTCATACATAGGAACTTTCTGCCATTGCGCTGGATGGCTTTAGTGTCAACTTGACACACCTAGGTTGAGGGAGCCCAAATTGGGGAATTGCCTCTAATGGACTGGTCTATGGCCATGTCTGAGGGGCATCTGCTTGATGAGTGATGTGGGAGGGCCCAGCCCACTGTGGGTGGTGCCACCCCTGGGCAGGTGGGCCTGTGTTGCATAAGAAAGCAGGCTGAGCTGGGGCCAAGGGAGCAAGTCAGTAAGCAGCATTCCTCCATGGCCTGTGCTCTAGCTCCTGTTTCCAGGTTCCTGCCCTGAGGTCCTACCTTGGGCTCCCTGATGAACTACAACCTGGGAGATGTAAGCTGAATAAACCCTTTCCTCCCCAAGTTGGTAGTGGTCAGAGTGTTTTGTCACAGCAATGAAGAAACAAACTAGGACAGCCATTAACTGGTTCCTGTCTTAGTCCATTTTATGTTACTAATAACTCAATGCCATATGCTGGGTAGGTTATAAAGAGAAGGCATTGAATTTGGCTCACAGTTCCAGTTCAAGGTCAAGGGGCTGCATCCTGTCGGTGGTCTTGCTGGCATATTTAAAGAAGTGCTGGGCACATAGCAAGAGACCGGAGGCAAGTGAGTGTGTGTGTGCGTGTGTGTGTGTGTGTGTATGTACGTATGTGTGTTTCTTGTTTTGTTCTCTCAATAAAACCAGCAGTATCAATCATGGAGTCTCTACCCCAAGACTTTATCTAATCCTAGCCACCTCCCAAAGCCTCCACTTCTCAACATCATGATCTGATTGTCTTTTCCCCTTTAATCCCTCACAATAGGAATTAAACCTCTAGCAAGTATTGCAGAGGGGACACACCGTGTTCAGATCTCAGTAGTTCCTGTCCTAAGCTGTGAACTCCAGTCTCTGATGCCCTGTGATGCTTCTCCCCCACCACGGCTGGGTGGCCCAAACTTGAGGATATGCTGCGTGCCTTCTCCAAGTTTCAATCCTCATGTCCCCCAGGCTCAGGTCTGGGGGTGCAGGTTAAGAGAACGAAGTCATCTGCCACTGTGGCCTTTGGGGTACAGCTTCTGGCTTATTCTCTCTGACACATGGGTGAGTGTCTTGGAGACCACCATGCTGAACCTCTTGTCACAGCAATGGGAAGGCTTCATTCAGCCTGCCTTTCCCCACCGGCACGCTGTTTCCAGCTTCCTGCTGAGGTTCCTGGCTCAGAAGAAGAAACTTGGGGCAGAGATGGTGGAAGGTCATTTTCCCCCTGGGGTGTGTGGTTTCCCTGCCTGGCCCTTTTACCTGTAGTGGTTCACTCCGTGCCCCATGCACAGTCTCATACCAGCAATGCCATCTCATGGTCACCCAGTTACAGGCTCCCTCATTTACAGCACCTGCTGTGCTCCCAACCTAGGTTCTGGAGAGTCAGCCATGGGCAAAACACAGAAGAGTCACCCGTCACTGTTAGGGTCTCTGATCCTGGCATACAAAGCTCCCAGGCTGGTCCCTCATAGCCCTTCCTGCTTGGCCCAAGATGAGGGAGAATACCCTCTCCCCTCCCCCAAAGGGAGTTTTCCACTCTGGCAAATCTTTCCCCCAAATCCTTTTTCTCAGTTTCTTCCACCCAGCTGGGGATGAGCAATAGGGAATAGGGTCTGAGACCTGCACAGGTGCCTGGACTGTCTCCTCAGGGCGAAGGATCCAACTGGATCCTTACCATCTTGTACCTGTCACTGGGGAATCTAGGAGAGCTCAGTGCTGGCAAGAGAAGTCCTTTTAACACTGGCTGCAGCCGGGTTTGCCTAGCCTAGCCCTCTCCTGCCTCCCCACCTCTGGCCCTGCCCTGGCCATTTCTCACTCTTTGATGTTCCAGGTCCTTTTGATAAGCCTGCGGTCCTCCAGTCTGTTCCCCATACTGCAGTCAGGCCCAGCCCCAAGAGACACACACCACTCCCCTAGTCTATCACCTCTCAACCAGGAGCTGGCTTTGCCCTCACTTCCATTCCAGGGACATTTGTCAGAGTCTGGAGGCACAAAGACAGGGGCAGGGAGACACACTCCCGGCATTCAGTGG